CAGTGGGCTGTTTCATAAAACTGATTACCGTAGTAAGCGCTGCTTGCATGCAGTCTGCAAATGGTATCAGCGCTTCCTTTCACAAATGATAAAGTGTGATGAATGGTCACCGTGCACAGCCTGGGTCCTATTTTTATTGTTGCCCTTAATTTGACCTTCCGAGTAAGTTTGACTGGCCTGGGGGATTTGTTTACAGTCTGTACGTTTATCTTGCTTTTACTTGCCCTTTAACCACATCCGCCGAAATGGTGGGTAAAACTACAACAGCAGGATAGGATCTGCAACAGAAGAGACTCTCTGTTAAATAAGGAAAATGTGACGTAGAAATGAAGCTAATAATAAAGGAACGAGGATGAAGGCAGGCCTAAACACATGTGAGGGAGAGATGGAGAGATTTGTTGACGTTAAGCCAGTCCGTGGGTGGGTCTGGTCCTCAGGGTGAGTCACAGAGTGGGTGTCCAGCGGTCAGCTGAGCCAACGGGGCCATGAGTTGTTATAAGTGTGTGCGCATAGATCTGTATGTCCTGATTTTGTTATTTCTCCAAATGTATTCAGCAAAATGCATCACAACACCGTAGGCTATGATATTTTATGATTCCCTGCCAGTGTGCGTGTGTGTGCGCGTGTGTGCGCGTGTGTTTTTTTTAATATTAAATTCTACGTAAGCTCGAGCCTGAGTTACTGCTGAGCAATTCGCCCACCACTGAGCTTTTCTTTCTTCCTCTGCCCCTTCTCTCTGCACTCCCCCTTCTCTGCTCCCACTCTGGTTTTATCTCTTTTTCTGCCTGTTTCTCTCACTCTGCCTTATCTATCCTTCTTTCTGTCAGACTTTCTCCTGCTGCATTTTCTCTTTCACTGCCTCCCTTCCCGTCTTTTATCTGTCTGACTTTCTCTGTCTCACACCGTCTCTCCCTCAGTCTTTCTCTCTCTCTCTTCTGTTTTCTGCCTTTCCTCTTTCTGAAGGTACTCATTGCTGATGGCTCAAGAGCTCTTTTCATTCTATCTCAGTTGGTCTCAGTTTCCATCTCAGGCAGGTCACACTCTCTTAGCTCTCGTCACAGACTGCCTACAGCTCCAAGAAACAAGCATACTAAATGATTCCCGGCAAGAGGCTTTTGTTTGAGATGGGGATGGAGAAAGACAAAGAAAAATAGAGGGTTTATGTAACCACTCAGCTGCACAATTGACTTGCTCACTGACATGCTTTCTTCTTAGGTAAACATGGGCCTTTCATTTCTTACAAGACCTCTGCTGACCTTGGATTTCGCACAGAAGAAGAAAAATGATGTTTCTTTGTGAATGTGCATGTGTGTGCGCGCCCGTGCCGAGCATTGTGGGAGTATTTTCTTCCTTGTTTTATAGATTGCCACATTTGAAGATTTCAAAACTCCTGAGTATTGTTTTAATTATTAACATACTAAACAAGACTAATAGTTGAAATGTAGGAACAGCCAGTCTCCCACTGGTTTGTGAAGTCCTGCTTTGGAGCCCAGATTATGCTTTTGATTCAAGGTCAGGTCTCACTGACAAACCAGTGGCACTACACACTCATATAGACTTGTCAACATCAAGGTAGACTTGCCCTAAATTACATCCTGGTCTAAATATGACTGTGATTTACAAAATGAGCATCACCCTGTATTGAGTAAGACTTGTAACTAGTGACTGGGAGCTCATTCGATAAGTGTTTACTGGGGCCACAAATGAACTGAGAAGTAGTCATTTTCCTCATAGACTTCTATACAAATAATGACTGTTAAAAAGGGGAGTCTAACATACTCACATTTCTACAGCTGTTTTCTAGTCTTAATGACTGTGAAAGTGCTTTAAACTACACGTCACATTTTAGCCATACAGCACTTTATTATACAGTCTTCAAGCACTTCATCGACCTCATATCATTGGACAACTGCTTTTTCTTCTTTAAGCTGCCCCCTTTTAGGCCTTGCCACAGCGGATCCTCTGCCTCGATCTCATCCTTTCCCTTGCATGCTGTTCTGTCACACCACACTTTTTAATGTTCTCCTTCACTGCATCCATGAATCTCGTATTTGATCTTCCCATGTTCCTCCTGCCCAGAAGCTTCAGCATCTTTTGTTCAGTATATCCACTATTCCTCCTCTGCACATGTCCAAACCACCTCAGCCTTGCTTCTCTAACTTTTTCTCTAATCTGCTCAATCTGAGCCGATTCTCTTGTGTACTCTGACAATGAGCATTTTGTCATCTTCAACTCCAGGTCGATTTCCTGTCTCTTTGTCCACAAAGCACCCCTTACACTCATCTCCAACCACGCCACCCTGCCTGCACTCTCTTCTTCTTTAGCTCTCTTGTACACTGTCCACTTCTTTGGCTGGTTGACCCCAGGTGCATAAACTCATCCACCTTCACTACCTCTACTCCTTGCACTGGTCGACCTGTGTTCCTCCATGGCCAATTAGAAATCATTGGTTAACCAGCATGCAAGTTTTTGGACTGTAGGAGAATGCCAGAACCCACAGAGGAAACTTGCGTAGGCACAAGGAGATCATGCAAACTCGACATAGAAAAGTCCCGGCTGGAGTTCACACCGGTATCTTCTCACTATGAGGAAACAGTGCTACCCACTCCACCACTGTACCCACCAGAATGGAAGTTTGAGACATTTACTTGGGTGTGGGAATGTTTATTTGTGTAGAAAATAACATTTTATGCCTCTGATTCATCACTTTTTTGCTAACACCTCCCTCTCTCTCTTCCCTTTCTACATTCGTTTTCTACCTCACTCAACCACCACTGTTTGCTCTTGTTCTCACTCCCACAGCTCCAAAATTGAATGTAGTGTTTACAAACAGTACCCAACAGCTTCTGTGGTATACCTTAAAGTAGGTAAACTGAATTTTACCAAATATCGTGAAAATGATTGTGAGATAAGACAGACTGGCCCAAAATGGTACAAGCAGGCTACTTGACCAGTCAGAAATGTTTAGCGCTGAAAGCCCGAGTTCTTGAACTGTCAGAAAATAATAACCCCTCCGCAGGGACGTCTTTGGTGGGTAAAATATCATCATATAATCACTGTGGTGGAAATACAGTGATTCACTCCAAACATTTCTTGGGAAAAGATGCTTATTGGCTTTATTTCTCGGACTAGGAGGCTACATCAATTTTTTAAAATATAATACAATCTGTTAGATACAGGTTTTAAAGCCAATCTAAACTGCAAGAGAAAACAAAGGCAAAGATTTTATATATACTATCTAGAAAAAAGCATTGTGGGCTACACCTCATAATCTTTGAACTCAGGTGTGTTCAGTCCCGTTGTATAAAAATGAAGCACCGTGCCATGCAGGCTGAAGTGTCAGATTATGTCAAGTTACAAAGTGTGCAAGTGCAGAACTGCTGAGGTGCATAGCGCGTTAAAGTCACCAACACTCTGTGAATTCAATAACTGCAGAGCTCCAAACCTCCGCTGCCTTTAATATCAGCACATAAACTGTGCGCTGGGAACTTCATGGTATGGGTTTCCCTGGCTGAGCAGCTGCGTGCCAATCATCAGGTGGCGTGATGTAAAGGACGTCACCCGTGGACTGGAGCAGCTCTGTGAAGTGACAACTCACCCGTCTCTATCTGGAAGTCTGCTGGATGACACTGGGTTTGATAAACACCAAGAGAAAGAAAGCTGCCTGTGTGCCAGTTGTAAAGTTAAGTGGAGGAGGGTTGTTTTTCTTAGGTTAGCCTGAGCCTTTGGTTCTAGTAAAAGAATATCTTAATGCTTCAGCTTCCCAAGACATTTCAGACAATTCCATGCTTCCTTCCATACTTCATGGGGACAGTTTCCCGTTTCGCAAAACAGCATCCATGGAGTTATCGAGTCTGGTGTGGAAGAACTTCACTGGACTGCACAGAACCCTTACCTCAGCCCTAACCCATTTTAACACCTTTGGGATGAACTTCAATGAATAATGAGAGCCAGGCTGTCTTGTCTAACATTGGTGTCTGACCTCAAATGCTCTTCTGGATGAATGAGTAAAAATTCACACAGACACTCCAAAATTTCATAGAGGGCTTTCCCAGGAAAAATGGAAGCTGTTAGAGCGGCAAGAGGGAGCCAACTCCATATTACTATCTGTGGATTCAGAATGGGATGTGCCCATACTTCTTGTCCATATAATTGTATTATAATTATTAATGTTATAATAATCAGAATTGTTCATTATGACAATCCCTCGTGCTTCTTGAATTAACAATGGCCACTGCACTTACCATAACTGTAAGGAGGTTTCCTGTTCATTAAGGGAGTTGTACTTACATTTAAATGCAACTTAAACTACAAGAGTTCTTAATAATCCAATACCAGTGCTTCTTTTTTTCTTTGTTCTACCTTTAGTTGTAATCTTTATGCCTCATTGTGTGCAACTCATTAAAATCATTTTCATGTACGATAACGTCAGGTCAGAGACTGCTGTGTAGCATCATGACTGAATTAATGCAGCAGATAGAGGAAACAATTAATCTTATAAAGACACTGATGAATGAACGCTATAATGAGGTCAGTACTGAGGCCATTTCCATTTTGCGTGTATTGGTTCAGTGCTTCCATGCCGCTTATTGCAATTATTTCGCTATCATAACCAATAGAAACGATGCTAACTAAACAGAAAAAAATAAGACCCAATTTGTAATAATAATTTGGCACACTCCTTTTTTATAGTATATAAGTAAATAGATAATTAGAGTGTATATATAAAAAAGCAGGTGCATGATAGTACTGTGGAATCCATAAGCTGCTGTGTGCACCGTCTTGCCCACATTGCACGATGAGCATCATAAGAGCAGAAAATTGAGGTTTTACCGATCAACCAGTTACGGCTTATGGATTTTCTTTCCCTGACCACAGATTTAAAAAATACTTGATTTGGGTTATTTTTTCACAATGATTGGTGCACAAATCACGCTTTGCAGAAACCAAATACGGAGCTACTGGTTCCTGTTCACTTTTGGCAACTTAAAGTCACTCACCAATGTTGTGTATTTTGATGTTTGGCCTGACTGTGTAATCGGGAGTCTGAATGGAGTCCTCGTCTGCCTGGGAGACTGAGAAACACATCACAGCCACACATAGACAGAGAGAAGGAACGAAAGGAGAGGAAGGAATGAAACGCAGAGAGACAGAGGCAGAGAGAGTGAGACACAGACAAGGAGAGAAGACACTCCATTAAAACGACAGCACTGCGAAACAAGGGGGGGAGTGAATTTTAGGCACCATTAAATTCTGCACAGTTACAGAAGAAGATGAAGGAGTCCGTGTACCCCTGCCACTGAAAAAGCATGAAGAAATCGCAGACTTTGAATCCCCATGTGAAAATTAAAACATTAAAAGCATTTGGAACAGAATTCATTATCACATTCAGTGTTCGTGCAGACATGGAATTAAACTCAGTCTGCGCAGGCAAATTAACCATGAATGAATGATGTTTGGGTTGTGTCTCTTCATCTTTGTGTATTTCTGCCTCTTTTCTTTAGCTAATATGTTTGTCTGTGTAAGCCTGTGACTGCGATACAGAGTTAGGTGGATGGAACAGCATTAACGGAGGACGCGCACAGAGGCTGGTAGCAATTTGCAGCTCATCAAGGATGTAAAGCATGTGTCATGAATATTCACATTTCTTTCTTATCTTAAATACTTGGAGGATTTAAGGTGGGACACACACACACACACACACACAGAATGAAAAGAAGGCAGCTGAAACCAGAAATGTTTTTTGATAGCAAGCTGTTAAATGACCTTGTTAAGCAAAGGTTGGAGCTGGTAAACTGGCTAAATGTGCTCATGCATGCACATCACAGCCATAAGAAACAGTTTACAGTTGACATTCTCCCATGTGTAGACGCATGTGCTCAAACTCCTACACACTCCTACGCACACAGATGCACCCAAACACACACACACACAGAAGCAAACAGAGGTGTGGTAGACGCATCAATAGATTAGCAGTGACAGTGGGATGGGGGTGGGGGGGGTTGGTGTTAAGGTGATGTGTACACAGGGGCTGACACTGGCCTGAGTGTGGGATGTATTAGTGCTGACAAGGTTAGAGGAAAGGGGGAGGCTTTCAGCGCTGGGCTGCCTGATCAAAGGCCTGCAGGGAAGAGAGCAGGCTACCAGGGTAAAAATAACACATACACTACACCGTGCGGCAGGCTTCGGAGAGCAAGACAGAGAAAGAAGAGATAGTCAGAGAAGGAGAAGGAGGGGGTGGTCAAGAGAGCTGCGGGAGAGAGGTATGGGGAGTGACAGAGGAAGAGGAGGGCAGAGAGCTAGATCATGCAATTCAATCTATTTTTTTCTCTTTTACATCTTTTGTGTATGTCACTTGCAGAGAGAGACAGCACATTACTGTAATAGCACCGAGACAGACAATAACATTAAGCCATCCATCTCAAAGCACTGCTTCGAGGTAAAATACGCCATCATCAAAACCCTGCCAAGACAGCACGAGGCAGAAAAGCCTCTCTCTGAGACAGGACTGTCAGATCTTAGTTTTTCTGTGTGTGTATGTGTGTGTCTTTGTCTCAGTTTCTCTCTGTGTTTGTGAGATACAAACAGATAGGAGGTGAGGGCAAATGAAGTGACACAGAAAGAGAGGAAATAGTATAAAATGAGCGGAGGAGACGTATACTAAGACTAAGGCAGATTTTTCTGGTCTCACCAGTGGAGCAGCAGACGAATACTCTCAGTCTCAGGCAGCTGTGACCGTGGTGGTGGTGCGTGGGCGTGGCTAAAACAGAGAGCAAACACACACAACACATGTCAAACTTGTGCCCTCTGCAGGCCGCACGATCCCCAGCAGCCGGCTGTGTAAACGGCAGAGCTGCAACTGAGCAACAGCCCGTCCTCAGCTGAACTTAGAATCTATTAGCAACACCCACGTACCATCAGTACATGTGCGTGGCAGCAGCTGAGGAAAAGCTCCTCGTTATAATCTTAGATCAAAACAGTGAATGTGCAGCACCCTCAGTCTTTCGTGCAGGTGTTCGCAGGTCTGACTCACAGATGTAGTAGTACTCCTTGCCCACGTTGAACTCGTAGCCCAGGGAGAAGGCGCTGTAACGCTGGAACTTCTCTGAGAATTTGATGGGCGCATGGGGCGCATGGGGCCGGTTGCACTCCCAACGCTTGGAGCCCTTCTGGGTGTTGCAGGTGCGATAGCCGTGGTAGTCGACCATGTAGAGGATGTACTGCTCTGCTACGACACGCTCTAGCGTCCCACGCTGACTGGTGTTGTAGTGCGGGCAGTAGATGTCCAGGTAGTCGTTGACACTGACTTGCACCGTGTATCCCTCCCTTCGGAGGCTGACATAAAAACAAAGACAGAAATAAAATGAATGCATTCAAAGAAGGCAGAAAGAAATGTGGGTAAGTGACTATGGAACCTCTCTAAACCTCTTTCACTATCTGTTAAAGGAATAGCTCAACATTCACAAATCACAGTCTAGGTAACATTTTCTTTTTAGCCAAAAAGCAGCCTGCACATATTTCCCTGGAAAAGAAAAACTCGTTTTTGGATAAGTGAGTTTTCGCAGAGCTTGTAGATGAAGTCTATTACACTGGTATCAATTTTCTCATTTAATATTCAGCCAGAAAGCAAATGAACATATTCCCCAGAAATGTCAAGTAGCTGTTCAGTAAATAAAACCTAATCTCAGTGAAAAATACCACCACGAGATGAAAAAAAGTTTTTATGATCAACACTCTGGAAATGCAACGATGCAAAACAAAGCAGCAAAGATTTTACCGGACTAATAACCAATAAGCTGTCAGTTAATTTCTGCTTCATAACTAACTGAGCAGCTGGTTAACAATTTCAACAGTATAGTTAACACAAATGTAATGCAATGAGGGCTTAAAGAGAGTTAATCCCTTCAGCGTTTTCTTCACACCTTGAACTATTACATCTTTCTCCTCCCTCTGCATATAAAAACACACATTTTCCCACCAAATGCCCGGTGGCAATTCCAGGGAATCGTGCTGAGAATCATAATCTGTACTCCTGTCTTTTCCCCAGAGCCAGCTTCGGGCCAGGTCAATGAGGTGGAAGGAGATTCTGTCAGCGGCGATGTATGCTCTGGCTGCTCTGGCTGCAGGGGACTCGGTCTACACAGTACACATGATGGAACAATGTCCCCTTTTAGCATAAATGAAATCCACTCTGAGGTTAAGAATATATATAAATATGTGTGTGTGTGTGTGTGTGTGTGTGTGTGTGTGTGTGTGTGTGTGTGTGTGTGTGTGTGTCTTGTACAGTAACCCTTCAGTCGATTTAAAACAGAGGAACTGAACTGAACAACCTAAAGAGTGATGTAATAATGTCCCACACTGCCACCATGCTGTTACCAACACTGTTTGTAATGCTAAGTATACTTATTATGTAAATTACACAATCTGTAATTAGACAAAGTAGAAGTCATTAGAAGGGCTCCTGCAGGTGAGCTGATGAGATGGGAATTGTCCTAAGTTGCAGCGATGTGTAACCCACGCCAAGTGCCCGCAATGACTCATACTAACCATTAGGTGGTGGTATTGTGCTGTATTATATGGGCAAAGATCACCCTTCTTATTCTCTGCACCATTATTATTTGTTTCCTGTTGGTTGGCTTCTCTTTCTTACACATTATCTGCTTCACAAAAGAACGCACACTTTAACACTCTCATAACCACTCCTCACTGTGCATACATTATGCCAACACATGCACACACTGCTGCTGAGAGGATCACACTAACATGCACACGTGCATGCGTTACTAGGTCAGGCACCCAGAGATATTTTTCATTCAATCCCAAAATGAAGATCAGAAATGTCAGACCCTTCTCTATTGCTTTCTTACTGTGCGGATCACTTTTTCTGGATCCTCTCGCCCACTCTGATAATATTTTCCCCTCCGTTTTCTCCCCTTTTCTTCATGTATACACACATGCTGAGGCAGATGAATATCAATTCTCTTAACCAGTGTTCTTTTTGGGCCATCAATCTTATCTGTGCTTTCTATCCCCACTGCTTAGATGTGAGATGACAGACTTTTGTCTTGCAGTGTTGCGGGAAGAGACAACACAGCTATGCTTCAAAGGGACTATATTTAGAGAGGGGGTTTGTGTGGTGGAGGAAGGGAGGAAGGTTGAGATGGTGAGGAGAATGGAGGGGTAGAGAGAGATAAAGAGGTACAATGGGCGTAGGATAGAGAGAATTTGAGGGAGACATGAGATGGAAGTGCAAGATAGAGGGTGTGCTGAATAAAAAAATATGCATTCGGGAGAATCCTGGATGCAAGTTAAGTCAGGCGGACTCACCGTCACTGAAAAATAAGTGTGTGAGAAGACTTGAATGCAAGGAGGGAAGAAGATCCAGCGAGAGAGCATCTGTGCTTGAGTGCTCTATCATATTCATGGATGAAAGGCCACTGGATACTGCTGAGACAGTGCAGCAAATGCAGCAAACTAGTCTGCAAAAGCATTTGTTCTTGAGCATTTGCAGGTTGGAGAGATACATTTTTGAAAATATGCAAAACGGCTCAAGAGTCTTCTTAAATGTACAGCAATGTCTTATTGTCCCTTTCCATGTAGCTTGAATGTAAAAGCTGGGGACAAATTTAAATGCAAGGATAAGTTTCATCATTAATAATGTTTAGAAGTATCCAATGATTATTCAGCCTGTAAAACGGCAGCAAAAAATGACCATTACTATTTCATAAAGTTTTTCTTTGAGCGGTTTTCCTGATGTATTACTTTAATAACTTTATCCAAATAGCGGCAGATCTGCTTTCCGCTTTTCGATGACTCATTTCAGCACTTGCATGAAGATGCGGCACCGTTCTTTTCCTCCTTATTGTTTTGGTTAGCACCTACCCTAGCTACACAGCAGGAGGACTGTTTGTTCCAAAACTGGCCAGCAAATGAGGAAGCTTGGGAAGAAGAGAGGAAGAAGGGGAGGGGAAAATGACACGGTGGTAAAAACAGAAGGTAAGGTGGGGCAGAGGAGAAAACAAGGAGGAAAGGAGACTAAAAGGGTGAAGTGAGAAGACCAGGCTTGCTGATGGGTGAGAGGAGGCGGGGAGTCCCTCTAGGTGTATGCTGTTATATAAGCAGTCCATTTAGTGGCACAAGACAAAAAGGTTGCAGGCCAGAGAGGAATGGAGGGAGGAGAGGAAAAGAGAAGCGGAAAGAGGGGGTGAGAACAGATTTAATAACTTAAGGTAGGGGGAGGAAGAGGAAGGGTGAGGGGGGGAAAATGCTTCAAATGATGACAACAACAAAGAGTAAAGCACAGAGATGGAGGCAGTGGCCTAGACACAGACACAGCACCCTCTGGGGATGGACATATATGTGGTAAAAGTGCATAAAAAAGACTGATGGATCTCATTCGCCTGTTGTCTCTCCTTCCCTGCACCCTTTATCCAAGTCGTTTCCTCCCTTTCCACTGTGCATTGTGTCTGCGGTGGTTTTGCTGTCTCATCACCATTTTCCTATGAGTGGGAGTGCACAGCTAGTTAGTATAAGCAGCACAAGCTGGTGAAGACTGCCAGGGGAGGAAAATAGCAGGGGAGAGATCGAGAGAGTGAGAGAGGAATGTGGGGGGGTTAAAAGAGAGAAAGAAGAAGAGAGGAAGAATGAGACAAAGATAGCACCATTGCACCTTTCACGTCTGTGCTAAAAAGAGCCTTAGGAGAATACTGCCAGTAATAAATAACAATGGTGAGGTAGCGCTACAGCGTGAGACACTTACAAACATACAGTGCACAGAAACGGTGCATTTAGCACAGCCACAGGAATTCCACGACTGCTGCAGTAAAATGTAAAAGAAATCCTAAACAATCATATATCAGCAGCTTGGGGCAGTAAGGGATTACGAATTACAGTAGTGTAATTTCTTTGCCTGTATAAAGTTACACTAATTACACATTAAATTTTCAGTAACACTGTTACTTTGACATATTGTAGGCTTGCTCACAGCCTTATTGGAAGTTTTTTCCTGTCTGTGGGCAGGCTGTGGTAAATTGATGAGGGGGCTTGTCAAAAGTGGAAGGCGGCTAGCCTTTACCAAAAAAGAGAAAGTGCACCTCCTGCACTGGCTTGTTAACAAGGTACGTGTCCATTCAGGAGGCGCTCAGCTTTGTTCCAATTTGGAGAGTGTAAGAACTGTGAGCAGGAGGTTGGGACTTCTGGAGAGCTGTGTGTGGTCACTGAGGCTAGGCTAACTGCTGGACAGTCAGTTAATCCATCCAGATTTTGTGCCGCTTGTTAAAGGGGACGTTTTCTGCTTTTTTCCAGTTGCAGTTTTGGATTTACACGATTCTCAATTTAAGATATTCCTCATTCATTTAATACTGAGCTTTGGTGTAACCCTTCAGTTTGGCTTTCTAATGATATGGGGACTCTCTCAAACATAAAGAATGAACTGCAGATAAGTGGTGCTGTCATCTCGAAATGACTGTATTGAGGATTTTCTCCATTTCTGACATCAGAATAAGCTGCTGAATAAGCTGCATCTGAAGTCTGACATTTTACACTGAGTTAAACTGAACAACATGATATTTAGTTAGCATTAAAAAATAATTTTAAAATAGCTGACATGTACCTACATGGTGTTTTACACATTCAACTTTCAACACGGACACACACACATGCACACACACACATAAAACAAAAAAGAAAGAAATAGCCTCAGGGAGCCACAAGCTAATGTACTCCTGGTGTGGTTCTCAAGTCTAGATAAATGGAAGAGTTACTTCAAGAAAGTGCATCGATGTTAAATCTGTGTCAGATAAAACATGCGGATCCATCCACTGTGGTGACTCCATGGAAGGTCATATTATTATGAAATCTTATATAAAACTTAGAGACAATAAAGTTTCAAGAAGGATTTTCGTACTTAGTAAAAGCAAAACCAATTGTGGACCACAAAAAACTCCACATTCTCTTCATTCACTGGTTTCACTGTTTCCCAACCATTTTTATCTATATAGCAAAAAAGGCCTCTAAGGATAATCTATAATACTGATTACAGAGATCATACGAATTCACTATTCTTAAAATCAAAAACATTAAAATTCATTGATCCAGTTTTTGCATCTCTCTATGTGGAGCGAAACTGTGGAACAGACTGAATGATGAGCTGAAGGAATGTCCAAGCCTGACCCAGTTTAAAAATATACGGTTTTTCAGAGGTACAGGAAGGAAGAAGGGCTTTGATCAGGTGCTGTGACCCAACTATGTGTATATGGATATCTGTTGGCGTGCTACTGTGTGTGTTTGTGTGTGTGTGTAAGTGTAGTAAACAGTAAAGAAGGTTTTAAACAATG